ATCGTCTAATTTGGACTAAAGGACATGTGTTTCGTTACGTGTTTGAACTAGATGGATAACCTAGTGACCATATATCATGGAGCCACCATTGAAAGTGATCGCTATAGATATGTTGAGTTTCTTGACATGCAAAGCATGCCTGTGCTATTCAATGATAGGCCTTCATTTAATGAGATGGTTGTAAGGGCTTGGGAGGAGCTGCATTGCCTTGGAGATGATGGCATTGCAGTTGATGGTGTACTGCACCTAGGTTCTCCTCCGAACATCTTCAGGCGAATGATCTCAATTGGTTGTGCGGATCAGTGTGAGAACTATGTGAGATCGGCTATGAAGAGCCAGCTGCAATGTTTAGACGTGGTTGTGCGTCGGGTGTTAGTTGATCCCATCCCTCATGGGTTTACCCTAGCAATGGATCATTAGGCACACATCGACCCTTCCATTCCGGAACTTTACCTGCATGTGTAGATTGCACCTACGGTTCCCGATGCTCAATCTGCCCCTGATGCGGTATTTGGAGATGGTTGTCAGACTCATATTTTCGTGACAGATCCTCCTTATGAGATCCCTTTGACACAGAATCATCCGAGTAAGTGTTTTAACCGCATGGTTTTTGGAAGCTTACCCCATTCCTTACATCTATTTCTTTTATTCTTTCCTCATTTCTGTACTGATGTTGCAGGAGACATTCCTGAGAATGTGGATGTGCCCCCTGTTGTTGCGCAAGTGCACTTTGGAGATAGATTATGTGGCTCCAACATGTTGAAATTATGCATGATTCAGAGCCATATGAGATGGCTAGGGCTCTTGATTCTGATGATCGTCCTGTTGGAGAGCTGACAGAGAGTGATGTTGAGATGACGAGGCGTATCTTTTCCGGCCGCCGTGATCCTAGAGTTTACGAGTTCAGCGATCTTGCTCATTCCGATCAGGCGTTTGCAGAAGGATGTGATGATGAGCTCCTAAAAGCTCCTAAGGTCGGTCCTAACATGGTAATTGAGAATAGGAGAGTGTTCAATGACCTCCCTGCTTTAAAGAGGTGGTTGTAGGCTTTTGCAGTGATACGAAAGAGGCCTTACAGGGTATTGCATTCATATGCGAAGTGCCGTTACATAGTTGTGTGTGACAAGAAACGCTGCCCATGGAGGGTTTGTGCAAGAAAGCAACAGGTAACCGGAAAATGGAAGATCACAAAAGTTATCGGCCTCCATTCCTCTTCTCAACCTATAAATAACCACTCACTCTCTCTCATTCACACACATAATAAGGAAGAAGAACACTCCTCAGTATTTCTTTCATTGCAGTACCAATGTCTGGAGGGTCGTCCAGAGGAAGAGAAAAGGGGAGGGGAACTACCTGGGGTGGGAGGGTCCTCTTGGTCCCAATTTCTTTAAGGAAGCTCTTTATGAGAGGTTCCCAGTTGAGAGCAAAAGTGATTTCATCAAAGAGGCACCACTAAGAGCGATGAGCTCGCTCAGTTTGCTAGTGTCGTACTCAGCCTCCTGCGCCTACATGCCCGCCTCTGCTAGAGCAATGAGCTCACTCAGTCTGTCAGTGTCGTCCTTATCCTCGTCCCCCCTCATCAGACAACACAATCGGTGATTGAACGGTGCGACCAGCTCGCGATCTATGCTCATCTAACTTCTTCTCCTCATACCTTGCACGAGCCACCTCTGCGGCATGTTTCTTGCTGCAACCAATCCCTTCATGTATAAAATACAATCAGCTAGCAACGCGATTATATTACATTTAAAATCAAGCAACGAAAAAAGGTTTTCAAGCACTCACTGGCATATAATGTAGCAACATGCTCGTTCAAGACCTGCATCTGTACTCTTGTCTCCTCCCTTGCCTCATTCCTTGCCATCTCCTCCTCTAACATCATCCGCCTCTTCAATCCCCATTTGTTAAGCCCAACATCGATCGGGTTACAAATACCGCGCTGTCTAGCAAACTCACGCATCTTTTCTTTGTGATGTTTAACGAATAGGTTGACATAGTCAGGTCCATATCCCCTCTTCTATGTAATTAGTTGCCTCTTCTTCAGTTCATCCAAAAACTTAGCTTGACCATCATAAACATTCTCACCTGCATTTTCTAGTGCTCTGTTCAAAAAAAATATTATATCATATATGTCTTAGCAAAAGAAATAAAATACGATTTCATGTTTACTAGAAAAATAACGAACCTCATCATACTCAATCATATGGCCGTAATAATGGCCTATTCCAAACTCCGAAGGGACTAGACTATAGTTGGATTTAACACCATATTCGCACATGACAGGAGGTGCTTTGTAGATTACCCTTTCTTTCTTCTTTTTCTTAACCCTCCGCGGTTCTTTCGGTCATTGGTTCTTAGGACCATACAACCACTCCTTGAAACGACACTTCACCATTGAAACACCTAAATAATGAGACATTATTACATGAACACATATAGCTCAAGATTTCAACACATACACTTTGCACTTACTTCATGCTTGTTTGGACACACAAACTCCAACGTATTCTCAGGGTTTATCATAGCTCGATCTCCGCAATCGCACAGAGGAGGTTCCTCGAGTCGTCTAACTATGGCTAAGTGCTTCTCCTTAGCCGTCATTGGAGAAGGGTTAGGGGGGGTGGAACCCACTACTTGAAGTGCTCACGTGGATGTCTCCCTCTAAACCAATCATCGAAAATGAGGTACCTAGGATCAAACTTGTCTGCACCGTCGATCCACTGAAAGAAAAATCACCTCTCATGGTCCTACACAACGAGATTCAAACAAAATATTAGTAGCATACTTACACAAATAAAGAAAAAGGATAGTGAAAACAATTTCTTACATTAAAACGATTGTATGTGTAGAAGCAACGCGCCGCTGTGTCCGGATGTTTCGATTGAAAAACATGGGCCGAGAAACCACAGTCACAGTCAGGGACAGGGAGGTCAGGAGAGACGAGGGCATCTTTACTAGACGTGTCGGGATATAATTCTCGAGGATGACCCTGTTTTTGCCAAAACTCTTCCCAAAATATTTCTTGCATCTAACAAAACGGATGTAATTTAACAAACATAAATCAAAACATCACAAATAAATGTCAATGAGAACCATAACTACAATACAATCAATTTCGTTCTAAAAATCGAAAGCAGTTAACATTAAACCCTAAACCTAGGGTTTCTCATTTGATGCACAACAAAGAACTCATAACATAACTACATACGCCTAGGTTTGCTAGCTTTTTTCACGCCTTGGCATCATCCTACGGTTGTATAATACATATATTGAGGGATATAATAAAACCCTAAGTGATGACGATTCTTAGGTTGAAAAATCTGACTAATATATACCGAATCGATGTGAAAAAACTAGAAAGGGAGAAGGATACATTGCTCTCTAAGATCTATGGATCAAATCAAGGTTTTCAAGGTCCAATATGTCGATTCATGAGGTAGGATGAAGTGGGGAGAGAAAAAACCCGAGAAAGAGGAGAAAGAAGAGGAAGAACGCTCGGACAGAGAGGTTAGACCGGGGTTAAATGCAAGGAGCTTGGCGCCAGTCACTATGACGCCGAGCTCGGCGCCAAAATCTACGACGCCGAGCTCGACGCCAGAGTGAATGGTGCCAAGCCCTCTGGCAGGTCATCCACCGTGCCCAGGAGCTTGACGCCAGAGACGCTGGCGTCTAGCTCGGCGCCAGCATCAATGACGCCGAGCTAAGGGTTCATTTTCTGAATTCTTTCCTCCGGAGGTGTATTTTGTGAGAAACTTAAAAAAAAAGCTAAAATGTAAAAAATTCGGCCCCGAGTCCCCAAGCCGACGCCATTCCTGATTCCTCCCTCTTCCGCCGCGCCGCCGGTGATATGTCGAGGCTCGCGGCCGCCGCCCTCCGCCGCGGCGTCACCACATCGAGGGATCTCTCTTCCTCTCTCTTGGCCGTGTCCCCGCCGGTGTCCGCTCGGCTCTTCTCCGCGGATGCATCCGGCGAAGCCGCCGCCACGGCCGCAGAGTCGCAGGACGACTCTTTCCTCAAGGCATCCCATCCTGCGAAGGTAACTCGGTCATTCTCGTGCTTCAACCTTTTCCTTAACCTGTACCTATTCGTGTCTCTTCTATAGCTTGTCAGTTTGCTTGGTTTTGGGTGGGTTTAGGGTTTAATACATGTTATCTTCCCGTTTAAGAATACCGAGTAATAAGGAACTTAAAGGGATAGAGTAGCCGGCAATAAAATGTAGGTTGGATGTGCTATCTGTAAATTTGATCATAAATGTAGGTTGGGTGTGCTATCCGTGAATTTGATGGAGGGATTTGATCTCTAAGGTCATGACATAGTACTACGTTTGGTAGGGTGAATTATAGGTTTGAAAGCATGAGATATTGCTCTAGTTTGTCTGTGGAACACTGTGAAGCAACACTGCTACCAGTATAAGGTCAGTCATTGTTATTGCCTCTTTGGAAGTTTCATCACATGTAAGCAAAAGAAAACAATTCAATTTTAGAAGACGTCATTTCCTTATTGGGGATGCGTTTACAGGGAAAAGGAAAATGTTCATAGGTATTTCTGTTGATTTCATATCTGTGGAGTATTGTCATGCTCAAGGTTCCGAAAGGAGGCCACTGGTGACCTAGGGCCTAGAGCGCCTAAACATAGATTAAGCATGATTAAGCGTTTGTGCTTTTTTTTATATAATTTGTTTTTGCTGCTAGGAGCAAGATCCGGAGGTACCAGCACAGATGAAGGCCAAACAGAGTATTTAATAGAGATATTTTCAAGGCTAATAAATCACAAGGCAGCACAAACAAGGGACATTTATCAGGTTCAGAACATTTGAGAACATAGTTTCAGAAGAAAATTATGTCAACCAACACAGAAGTACCGAGTTTTTTTCAAACAGAAGCAGGTTCTAGTCTAGAAAAAATAATAGAAATGTATCTCGCAGGGATAGCTGAGTGCTGCAGGTCACGCACTGCCGCACTGCAAAGTCACACTCCATCCACCACTTACCACACGAGGGCATGCATGAACAGCTAATGATGCACTCCCTGAGGCTCCCCACCTCATATGCGCATCCATACACCGCCGATGGGAAGCCGGGAGCTAGCAGGATGAGGGAGGAGGAGGCTGGGACGAAGCTACGCCGGTGGCAACACGAGGATGAACGAGGGGTGGTGATGAGGACTTTGCAGCCGGCGATGAGACAAGAAGCGATGGTGCTTTTTGTTTCTCTCATGACCTACCCACCAGGTCTTTATCTACCTGTCTGCACCCGCCCTCTGTTCCGTGCTCCTGCCATCTGTTTTGCGCTCTTGCTTGTGCCCGCACAGGCTCTTTTTTCCGCCCGTTCACTCGCTCCTGCCTGCCCGCCTGCACTAGCACAAGACTGCCTCGCCACAGCTTTTCCCTGTGTCTGTGCCGCTTACATGCCGCCGCGTGCGTATGCAAGCACCTAGGTGCAACCAATGCTTATTTGGCCGTGCAGGGCCTAATCGATTCAGGAGGCTCTGATTAGCGCTTAATTGTGTGTAGGCACACGTTTAATACTGTTTTTTTGGAACACTGGTCAATGGTCATGCTTAAATTAAAGAAGTGTGAACTGGGTAGGTTACCGAGCTTGTGACATATGTTGTAACATTTAAATTGGGTCTTCTCTCTCTTGTGTTATTGTATCTTGATTGTTGAGATCAAGAGGATTTTGTTGTGGCCTCTTAGCCTTTTGTTCTGTTGATACTCATAGCTTGTAATAACTGTTTCGGCTGATGAGGTACCTATTCACCTCATAGATCAAGTATATTACAATAATATTTTTCCTACTGCTACAGGATTGGCCTATGGAAGGTTCTACAGCGTCATTGGTGGAGGCAATCGTCTTGAGAAGAACATGTTGAAAACTGACATTATCCATCACCTTGACAGATGTGGATTGTCATTGGATGATGTGAAGATTGATTACAACAACAGATATGATCCATTGGCCGCGTATGATTCCTCTGCATGCTCTGTATATATAACCTTTTTTTTCCCTCTGCATGCTCTGTATACATAGCCTTGTGTGAAGATTGATTACAACAAGGGATGTACTCTGTATGCTCTGCATACTCTGCATGCTTTTTATATATAACCTTTTTTTATTTTTGTTTACTTGAACTTGGGCTCCTAACCGGCTCCATTCCTTCATGACCCGATCACAAGACAAGTGACGCCTTGGCCTTTTAGAACTGTAGCTTAGATATGAACCTTGTGTCTGGTTGATGCATGCCTATTTTCATATAGTGTTCATGAAGCATTGCCCTTTCTTTGTAGTCCAATTTGTCCCTGACTAGCCTTTGTTGATCTGTCTGATGACCTATTTAGTTAGGTTGTGTATCTGTGCAAGATATTTTTCCTTGAGCACATGATGAGTTCTGTACGAGGGACAATAGTTATTTCTTCATTGATGCTATTATTCTGTATGATGCTAAGGAAGATTGTGCAAACACAAGTACTTGGTTTACTACTATCAAACACTGTATTTATGGTAAACATATGTCATGCTTTCATTAATATTTTAATAGCTGTCGACATGATATTGGTATTAAAAAATCTGTATTATTATTTATTTCTGCCCGCTTCTGGATGTGATTATCAACCTGAAACTTGTTTTAATGCTTTACTTGATTAGTTTGTTGAGGTTTTCTTCAAAGGCAATGTTTACCACCGCAAATAGGCAAACAAGTCAGAATCGGGTGTACAGGATTGATGAGGTAAGGCGGGACTTTTTCTTTTATCAGCTTTTCAGTTGGTCCAGTGCCAAACAATGATATATTGTCTGCTCTAAACAGACAAGTGGTGAAGTATGGGATCTCAAAAAGCCCTTTGATGGGAAAACTGTAAGTGATAGTTTTGTGTTAAGTATATGTATGTAATCAATTTTTGTTTATGCTTGCAAGAAGATTAGGTAGAACAAATATAGTGTTGTCTCTCTTCTGCTTAGTGCTTATTGATTGTGCATATACCAAGGACTACAATCCTCCCAAATCTCCAATCTCTTATTCTAGTAAATCTATGCATTTGATATCAATTATTGATTTGTCTGGAAACAATGATAAAGTTTTGATTCTGTTGTTTGTTGTATTGGTCTTTCCAGGTACTATTGCAAGGAGTCCCACGAAATGCCCTCCCAGAGGACATAGAGCGTTTTTTGTGTGGCACGAACTTTGAACCTCCATTTGAAAGCTTTATAAGGTAAGGACTTTAGAAGCCCACTCTTGTTTGCTAGTCCTAGTCGTAGTTGTCTAATTCCATACATACTGCTGCAACAGAGCTGGTGTCCCAGAGCCCATAAGAATGGTGCTGGTTAAATTCCGCACAAAGACTGATGCGATGAATGCCTTCATTACCAAAAACAGGGGTTTCTGTCTGAACAATCAAGTTAGCATGCGTGTCCTTCAGTAACTGGGTAGCCAATCAAATCTCGTGATATTTGCGTCAACTCTGTCAAACAAAACCTTTATCTGAAGTCTATCCACAAATGTTGCCGCATTGTGTGGTTCTGTAGGTTACATTCAACTGGCAGCCTGCTTTATGTTTTAATTTCCTATTAGTTTGTGGTTTCAATTGTACTGTATGGCCAATATTTCATGTCTACTCTGGAAATTGTACCACCGTTCCCTTTATAATAAAATAATTAACAGTACAAACGCTAGGGTTCGAGTGCTGGATTGCTACCGTGTTCGACTTCTATGTTCATCGAATAAAAGACTATAATGCTGTGGAGTAGCGAAGACCAAAAGAGATTAAAAAGTGCACTAATAAATAAAAAATTATGGTGGCAATGAAAGCTGCGGATAGTCGGGGAGCCGTGGATAGGCAAAACACTTTTTGTTATTTTGGTAGAATGTTTCTAAAGTGTACTTTAAGTCCAAGGTTCGAAGATACGTGCACCGTGCAGATATGTAATGATTAGTCCTAAAGCGAGACATTTATTTAATCCTTTTTGCTGCATTCATGGGAAAAGTCGAAGCGGACATAAAGGTCATCGATGAAATTGATGTAAAATGACACCTATACGCGAACATGTGTCTTTTTACGAGTGATCTTATCCATTAAGCATAAGATCAGTGGATAGGATTAGACAGGTAGTTTTAGTCTCAAAGGGCATGTCTTTTGAAAATAGTCGTTTCTCTTCGTGACGTCTCTTCACCTGTATAAATATATTTCAGAGATCAATAAAAGTAACTGTTCTTTCAATCTTGTTCATTTACATTCACGCTTATCAGAAATATTTCCTTAGCGTGCCATTTTTTTCCCGTCCCTAATCCTCAGTCGTTGTCGGATAGGTGGAAATGGGAGTCACTCTACCACTGTGGCCGAATAATCAAACGATCGCAAATGGATTAATCGTCAGCGGAGAAAATGATGGATGCATGGTGCCAAGCGAAGCCACAAAGCAAAGCATTTCAGCATGGCGTGCGGTAAGCTTTGGTATGGTAGCTCCTGCGTCAAGGAGCCGAGCACCCGCGACCCCTTTGATCCCTATGGCCGCGTCGCCGTCACGACGTCTGACGCCACGGCGCCAACGGTTTTGTAGCCGTCACGACGACCGACCCTTTGATCTCCTCACTCGCCCGCGCATGCATCCTCACTGGACCACCCGTCCCACTGACGTCCATGCCCTCGACCACCGCGGCAGCGATGGCGGCAACGCCGGCGGGGAGGGACCCTCATTTTCTTCCTGCAACCGCTCTTCCTCCACGGCGTGAGCGCCGCGCCCACCTCATGCTCAAGGCCGCGATCGCGGGGCGCTTGCTTTTTGCCGCCTCTCCGCTGACCGCACCAAGGACGGGGAGGTGGAGGGAGATGCCAGCCTCGGCGGCGTTGATCGGTTCCGTGCTACGGGTCACCGCCGCACCACGTGGACCTGGCGATGTTCGAGAGTCCTCCTCGCCGCATACTCTGGTACGCGGGCGGTGGAGCCGGTGGTCACGCGACGCGATCGCGGAACAGTGGACGCGGCGGCGCTGCTGCGCGGTGGCGTGGTTGCTGCTGCCGCCGCACTGCGATTTCGATTTGGCGGCGGCGGCGGCGGCGGCGGCGGCGGCGGCAGCAGGAGCGGTTCCCTGCGCAGCTCAGGCTTTGGTGGGCGCTCTACATGCTACTCTCCGTCGCCACCATCGGCGCTCACGCGGTGTCGAGTCTCGATGGGTTCCTCGTGCTCGGTCGGTAGTGGGCGCTCGACGCCGTCTCTGTTGTTGCAGCAGTGGTTCTACTCTCAGCTGGGTTCCTCGTAAGGAGGGTGGGACGGGGCCAAGGGCACGTGTTTACGTCAACATTTGAAAGAAAGAATTACAGCAACTCGAAAGCTTTCAAGATCATGTCATCAAAAAATCGATTGCATGAAGGTCGGTATCAGCTGATTTGAATGCAGCACTAGAATCAGATCTCTTCAGATAGCGCCAGCAGATGACGACAAAAGCTACGGTCGACGCCGGAAAGAACATATTGGACTCTTAAAAAAAGGATAGATTATGGTCCAAGTTATTTTAAATTAGGAATGTTTTCTCGTAGGCCAAAAAATTATGATGAGTCGTGCTTAAGTAGGATTCATGCGTAGGTTTCGGATATAAATATTGGACCCCGTCTATTGTAAAAGGACACACAATCAATCAAATATAAGTTACTTATTTTTTTCAGCTCCGGCCACCCTTTAGGAGTAGGAGTAGAGTAGATTTCGATGAGTTCTTCAGCAAGTAGGGCTGCATCGGTCTGACCGACCTCTGGTTTATCTGTAAGTACCGTCATAGCTTATACTTCTGTTCGTACGGCTGCATCGATCCGGTCGACCTCCACTGCGACTCTGGTATAAGCTAGTTATCGACTCTTGTTTAGTTCAAGTAAGGCTGCATCGATCCGGTCGACCTCCACTGCTCGAACTAGATTAAGGTCAAGTTATCGGCTCTATCTAAGGGTAGCGTCCTTCGGATAGATTCATTAAGTTACCGATATTGCTTATTGTTTTTATTATTTATTTAATTACAGCAATATCACTTCGTCCGATTAGGATTGATCTAGATTGGCCTTATATCATGTTTAACCCATCGTTTATTAATCTAAACTGATATAATCTGCACCTTAAATGATGAGTTATGTTTTATCGGCTGTTTTATGTCAATCTTAATCATGCATAGTGTGCCGTTAAGGCATGTCTGGTCTTAAATAGATATATTGGCTAACGAAAACCGTTCCATGGCCCGTTATCACGGCCTGTGTGATTCTACCTCACATCCCACTGTTAGCACCGTGGAGTGGAGATCGTTATTTGGTAGATCTGTTCTTGATAGAGCATGACCTTAATTGTACGCTATGCCTGAATCGACTATTTTAACCGATATCGAGTGTTTTCACATATGCAGTTTACGTCACGAGGCCGTTGAAGCAAAGATAGGTTGAAAGATGTGTTAGGCCCATGATCTTATTATTGTATTACGGCCTGCATGATTCTGTCTCATGCTCCACTGATATTAGTAATAAGTTAGGGTCATCGAATTTATTGCTGTTTCTATGGCCTGTATGATTCTGTCTCATGCCCCACTGGTCATAGCGATAGATGAGATCTAATATGTTCATAGATTTATCTCTATTAAATAGTTAAATGATGATGGGCTGAATTTTCATATAAAAAAGGATTCGGTTACTTGCAGTTATTGACTTAGCATAAATTGATTAGTGTTGACATCCTATTGCCATTGACTAATATTTGTCTAAATAACGATATTCATCCTGAATGGCAACCGATTTTTTTCCATAATTCCATGAGCTTTAACTAATTTATTCTTACGAGTATGCTGGAATCGGCTATTTAGTCGATTTTCTTCCATATTGGCTCTCAGAGCCACACATTCGGGACTGTCTAGTAACACCGGCATGTTCCGCCTTAAATTACTTATTAACTTTCTCTCCTTGTCAATTGCAGGGTCAAATTGACTGGCACATCTCGGGAGGAGTGCACAGGATAGATAATCCATACGTTGAAGCTAGGCGGATCTCTAGCTCCATCGAGTGGACCCTTCCGGCTTGCTCGTGTGCCTCGGCACGGGACGAAATTTCATGCCGACACACGTTCTGGCACGTCCGGTGGGACACCACAATCGTCATGACGACTCACAACAATAACGACATCCTTATGGTACCTTACGAAGACTTACCTGATGGAGATAAAGATGTCATCAGCAAAGCTATAGAATAATTTCAGAATAAGTGTTTGTTGTCCTACATCAAAATAGGCGACAATACAATTATTCAGAAATATCCACTACCAAAAGTTCTGTTGCATGGGCAGACAGATGCAGATGAAACTGAAGACAGACGTTTCTTCATGGAAGCTATAAATAAATCTGTTCATGATGCCATATCAAACCATAATAAAGTTTTCTTGAACACATTCCATAACACCATGAAAGAGGTGTTTCATAGGTTTTTAATTGATCAGGTTGGACCGGCTTATTACAACATTCCACATCCGTCGACTCAAGGGACTAATCAAACCAGTACCAGTTGTCAAGAAGCAGCACCAGTTGATAATGATGATGTCCAGGCAGTTCAAAGTTCATCTGAGCAAGCTCAAGGTGTTACTACGAATCAGATACAGTATAATCTCAGATCGTCAGTGTAGCATGTGCAATAGCTGGTGGGGCAAGGTCAGAACCAGATGATTAATTTTGGCACATCAGGCTACATACCGTCGTCGGCTCAAAAAATAGCACCATCAATTCAAAGGATCCGTCGAGATATAGATCGTCATATCTACAATCAGAGACTTCAAGCGACAAACCAGCAAATGACCCAGCAGATAGAGATTCCACAGGGGTATCATTATGACATAGATTATAACACTCTTCACATGATTCCGAATTCAGGGTATCAAGGCACACAGTATTTTAATCCACAGATGGGTCAGCAAGTGCAGAGAAATCCAAATTCACATGCTGACGAGTTATTGCTAAAGGTGACCGAGATGATGAAAAATCAGTTCAGTCTGAAGCCAAAAGGGTTGACCTTCTCGTACAAATGTCCATATTCAGAATGATATGATTTGGTCGCTCTTGCTACAAATTATAGGCTCTCAGAGTTTGCTAAGTTCACTGGCCAAGACAGCACAAGCACAATAGAACATGTCAGTCAGTATCTTACACAGTTAGGTGAAACATCCGTTGAAGAGGCACATCGAGTTCATTTCTTCTCATTGTCCCTGTCAGGGCCAGCCTTCACTTGGTTTTTATCACTGCCAGTCAACTCTATTGCCAATTGGGCTGATCTGGAAAAGAAATTTCATATATATTTTTATATTGAGACTGGAGAAAAAAAGATTACCAATTTGACAACTATAAGACACAAAACTAATGAATCAGGCACTGAGTTTCTTCAAAGGTTTCAAGAGACTAGAAATTTGTGCTTCT